GACCGTTTCGGCAGGTGAGGCGACTGGAAGGGACGACATGATTGGCCTTCCTGGACACCGAGATCGAAAACTCTGAGCATCAGATGACGCCTGGGTACCACCTGGAGTACCACAAAGGGGATGTACAACCTGCCGCTGAGAAACCATCAAACGCGCCTCGTATTCAGAAGCGGGTGAGTCTCGAAGGTCGGCAGGGGCACGATCTCGAACAGCACGAGAAGGTACAAGATGCATAGGGGGATAATCATGCACTCCTGGGCCCACCCCCCCCCCTATCGGAGGTGGGCCTTCCCCTGATGTCAGGGGCCTGCTGTTGATGAGGCCGCCGATCCGTCTGCCCGAGGCACCAGCAACTCGTCGTCATCATCATGATCCAAAGCAACCTGCGCTGGAGGAGAACCGTGATCTACAGCAGTAGGAAATCCGCCTCTAGTTCCATGCCGTCGAGTTCGGTCGTTGTTGTCCAGGGGTCTGGCGGCTGGGTACAAGAAGGATCTGCCATACTTCAAGGCCGGCCTCTTGGACTGCAGGGAACGGTCAGTATCCTCTACCTCAGATGGGGGAGCACCAATCCTAGCTCCACGGACCTCCTCCAAGCCATCCGCCTCAAGGTCCAGCTCACGCCCCTTACTACTTACTTCGTCATCTTGATCTTGAACCTCCTGGACCTCTTCCGAATGAGACACTCCTCCAGCAGCTTGAGCCTCCGTAGTCGCTTGAACTTCCAAATGCTGGTGAACGTCTCCACGAAGCGTTGCCGCTGCAAGAGTGGCCACCTGCTCCGCTTCGTATTCAGCTTGTACCTTCTCACAGTGCTCCTCGTATGCTGTAAGTGCCGAGCGATACGCCCTCGCATCTTCCTCTTGCTCAAAACGGTAGTATTCCTCTACTTCCAACGCCATCTCTTCCTCTTGCATCACCTCGAACTCATGAGACTCTTCTGCATCAAACGCCGCCGCTGCCGTCATCAATTGCTCTGCGTCTACGTCCGAAGCGGAATCCATAGTTGTACGTGGCCGAGGAGCATCTCGAGTATTTCCAGCAGCACTGTCACCTTGAAAACCGACCTGGGACAACGGTAAGCCTCTCGACGACCCTGAACACAGGCCAACTTCATCTGGGACAAGCCCTAGAAAACCGCCCACGTCTTCTCCAGCACGGCCAAGGGGATCACTACGAGGAGGCGGTGTACTTTCGAAGGATTTTTGCCGAACAGGCTGCATGGCCTCGGTATTCGCTGCCTTGAAAGCTTCCATCTGATGCTGCTCTCGTAGCCATCTCTCAAACAACATCTGCTCACGCTCGTCCTCAATGACATCCAAACGAGCAGCTGTCTCTTCAGCACACAACATGTCGTCAACCAAACGAGTCCCTGTAGACGGTGGGGTCGGAGCCACTGGAGAACGGCTGGCTTGTGCACGGAGATGATCTTCATATGCGTCGGCGTCCACCTGCTCCTGCTGTTCCTGCCTTTTCAATTCATCGCTAAAGACTCGCTCCTCTCTACTTAAACTGCTGCCAACAGGTATGCTAGTAACACCATGATACGGACTACACATAGCATCAGGAACGCGCCGCACCCGCTTCTGTGGCCCAAATGCTGACTGTGTCGCCTGGGAGTGCCGAATAGACATGATCTGCTCCTCGTAGTGCCTGTGGCGTTCTTCTGCTTCACGAACAGCTGCAACGGCTCGTCCTCGGTCGCGTTCGGCTAGTTCTTTGTGCTCAGCAAGACGTGCCCATGCCACCCGATACTCCTCCTCGTTCTTGCTCTTCATCTCGAGTACTTGTGAGATCATCTCCTTCTGCGCGTCCTCAAGTTGCTTCCAATCTTGTTGCCGAACATTCTTCTGCTGCTCCACAGTATCTGCCAGTCGCTTCGCGTGAGTCTCTTCTCTGCCTATCAAATCAGCCTGTGCCCTCGCAAGGAGGTCTCTCTGCTCAGTGATCAATTCTTCCTGACGCTTGCGATCCTGGGCTTCGCGACGGGCCTCTACCTCACCACGCTCGGCCTGCTGCCTCCAGTATCCAATGTGTTCTTCAAACATCCTGCGCTGCTGCTGCCATTCCAAATTTGTATGATGCATCTGCGCAGCAAACCTCTGAGACTGTACATATTGCTCTTGCACCACAGCTTGACGAAGTTGCTCGACGCTTTCATGATGCTGGTGTGGCTGGTGCTGCGCTGTCTCAAGGAGGGATGCCCCACCACCAACTTCCGTCACCGTCGCCTCCGTGACCCCCGTCGGTCGGTACCCTCTGCCTCCCAAGCGCCCCATGGGCTGGGGAGGTGGACAATGCCTACCTCCCAAGCGCCCCGTGGGCTGGGGAGGTGAGCAGTGCGTGCCGACGGGTGTTGACGAACATGCAATACTTCTTGGTGGTGCCGCTGGAGGTAGCACTGAAGTCGAGGATGCCAGCCTAGGAGGTGCGGCCTCAGGTGGGGGCCTCTTGGGAGGATGTCCTGCCGACTGTGAGTGTATAATACTAGAAGCCAGCTCCTTCTGGATCTCCTCCGCAGACAGTTGACCCCCGTACCGATCACTCATCGTCCGACGCTCCACTCCAGTGCTGGCTGGCGGTGTTGGTGTCAATCTTGTTGGGGAACCAGCTGGGGAACTCGCTATCGTCTTCGGTGGCGACCTTGCAGGGCTAGGAGAGCATCGACGAGCTCCATCCTGCGCTGGGTTCTGCACTCCGAGCTGCTGCATCGTGCCTCGTCCCCTCGTGATATGCCCCTGCGGTGTACTCAACGAAGCCTGGCAGCGCAAGTGTTTGCCGTCCACAATTGGAGTGGGATACCTTGCTGGCGCCGCTGCCTGGGCTGGCGGTGGAGGTGGAGGTGGAGGAGGTGGAGGGACTTCAGCCTCCTCTTCAGCTTCACGACCAGCACTCTTAGCCCTCTCCGCCAGATCCCGTCGTCGATCATACCCATAATCTTCGCCAGCAGTACTGTCTGAAACCTCCTTCCTGGCCTCAACTGCTTCTCGGAATAGATCTCTGTGGTATTCGTACACCGTCCGCTGATATAGCATGTCGTCCGCCAAAATCTGCTGCTTCTTCTCTAGTGCCGCAATCCTCTCTTCAGCTTGCACCATTCCTGCCTGAGCCTCAGCTCTCTGAACTGCAACGGGTTTCAACTGCCAGTGCATCCACTTCATAACACTCAATTCGTGCTCCTGTGCCGCCATGTACGTGCCCGCTTTCTTGCCTTGCACCAGTAGCTCCGCCAACTTGAGCATCCTGTCCTCCACCTGCTGCTTGTACTGCTTCATCTCGCGGGGCTCAGGGGGCGGCTTGTAAGCCGCGTGACGTAGTGCATATTCCTGCGTACACATCATGTGTGCGTCCAGCGTACTTTTGACCTCAGCACGAAAACTCGACTTCTCACGCTCACGACGTTTCTCATCGGCTTGGCGTTGTTGCTGCTTCCTCCACGTCATACTGCAGTTCTTCCAACCACCTCGGGCTCCATCTCGAATCTTGCCTTTGCATACCCATGTACCCTGGTCGTTGACCGATTGGCATTCAATACATGTCCACGTACCAGCCGTTCGTCCTGAAGCCATATTTGAATGGTGCAGCTCAATCAATCTTCGTGCACGCTCCAATCGCAGAACCACTCGAGCCTCAGCTCGTCGTCTCCTGGCTCTCCTATGCCAGGCAGGACTTCGCTTCCTCTTCGACGCCGCCGTCGACCCAGTCGGCCTCGAACCAGTCCTGCTCCTTCCTCCCGACCGTCCGCAGCTATGGCTGCGGCTGCGGGCCGCGGGCGCGCGTGCGCCGCGCTTGGGCGCGGCCGCGGGTCGGGCTGCCCTGCCCGCCCTCGGGCCGTGACGCCTCCTCCTCCTCCTCCTCCTCCTCCTCCTCCTCCTCCTCTCCTGCTCCTCCTCGATCCTCCTCCTCCTCCTCCTCCTCCTCCTCCTCCTCCTCCTCTCTCGCCTCCTCCTCCTCTCTCGCCCTCTCCTCCTCCTCCTTTCTCCTCTCCCTCATCCTCCTCCTCCTCCTCCTCCTCCTCCTCCTCCTCCTCCTCTCCTGCCTCCTTCCTCGCCGCCGCCTCCTCTCCTCCTCCTCTCCTCTCCTCCTTCTCTCTCGCTCTCCTCCTCCTCCTCTCTCCTCCTCCTCCTCCTCCTCCTCCTCCTCCTCCTCCCTACAGTAAGAGCTCGTCCACAAGAACCTTCCACAAGAAGCCCAACCCTGAGACCCCAGGACTTCCATGGACTTCTAGCGTGGGAGCGGCACGCCCTCCACAGCAAAACCATCGAAACCCCAGAAACCCAGGGCACCCTGGAGGCAGGCAGGGTGCTTCTTGGCATGGGTCTCCACTGTAGCGCCCCCCCCCCCGGAGGTCCGCGTGGATCTCTTGGACCGCTGCTGGTCCCCCCGTGCCCGGCACGCGGAGGGCGCCAGCGGCGGCGCTGGGGGCGCCGCCAAGGGGTACTTTTAGGTCGGGCCTGTCCCCCTACAGGAGGATTTGGGGCGACAAATAAGAAATACTAAAAACAAATACCCTCCAAATCGGCAAAAATAGTTAAGAAGTCGTCCCCAGACTATTGTTAGACTATTTTTGAATTTTCCTCCTGTGGAGGGAGTAGAGGGAAAGGCCCGACTTAGGGGTACTCTTGGGGGCGCGCAAACATCGCCAAATCCATGGATCGGGGGAGGTACCCTCCCCAAAGTGCGGCCTGTATCGCATCGTTCGGTGGAAATCCTGGATTCACCATGGAAGCGGGACCCGTCGCTAATCCACGCCCCCTTAATCCATGTTTGCGATCGCCGGATAATCAGCGCCGATCCGAAAACACCGCGCAGACAGTCGAACGTTTTCGTCAACTTTTTTCCTTCGTCGAAGATCCGCAAGGGATACATGGGCATGGGCACGCTAAGACAACATCCCCTGCTCTACCCGGACGAGAAAGACGAGCTTCGAACAACTTCGAAAACGTCCTCGATCCGCGATCCTTCTCGATCCCCCCCTTGCTCCCCCCCCTCCCTGGCGCCTTGATGTCCCTGTGCATCAGCCCGTGCGTGTTCAGGAACGCGAGCGCGGACAGCATCTGGTGCATCACCTCCGCGAAGCCCGATCGGGATCCTCCTTCCCCATGCCCCCCTCGTGCTCCACGTGCTCCCCATCCTCCTCCACCTTCACGCCTCCTCCTCCTCCTCCTCCTCCTCCTCCTGGTCCTCCTCGCTCGTTCCCCCTCCCCTCTTGGCTCGCTCCCTCTCCCTCCGCCTACCCCACCCTATCCCCCCTTCCCCCTTGGCTCGCTCCCGCCCCTCTCCCTCCCCACCTCCCCACCACTGTCATCCCTTGGCCCCCCTCCCCCCTCGTCCGGTCCCCTGGGCCCCTGCGGGCCGGCCGCCCTGGCTTGCCAATGGCGCCTCCCAGAAAGCGCCTCCTCTTCCTCCTCCTCCTCCTCCGCCTCTGCTTCCGCTTATTCTCTCGCACAGGGCGTCCAGAACTCCGACCACTGTGTTCCGCGTCGCACCGCCCCCCCCTCCCCGCCCCCCCCCCCTCCTACCTCCCCTCAGCGTCCCAGGGGACGCCTCCTCGCAGTGCCCCCCCCGCCCCGACCATGCTTATTCTGCGTCGCACCGCACTCCCTCTCCCCGCTCCCCTCCTCCCGACCATTTTATTCCGCGTCGCTCAGTGCCCCCCTCTTCCCCGCCCCACTCCTACTCCTCCCCCAAGCGTCCCCAGCGGGCCCAGGGAACCTCCGCCAATGTGCGTTCGCGTTGCTTGCCGTTTTCCGCGTTGCACCGTGCGTTCCCTCCTCCCCGCACGTTCTCCCCGCCCAGTGTTCCTCAGCGTGTTCCTCAGCGGCCCAGTGGAACCTCCGCCCAGTGCCCCCTCCGCCCCGACCATTTTATTCCGCGTCGCACCGCGCCCCCGCCTCCCTTCGCGCCCCCCCGCCTGCCCTTCCCCAGCGTTCCCCGGCGGCCCAGTGGAACCTCCGCGCAATGCCCCCCTCCACCCCGACCATGTTATTCCGCGTCGCACCGCGCTCCCCCCCCTCCTACACCTCCACAGCGTTCCCCAGCAGCCCAAAGGAACCTCCTCCCAATGCCTCCTCCGCCCCGACCATGTTATTCCGCGTCGCACCGCGACCATGTCATTCCGCGTCGTACCGCGCCCCCCCCTCCCCGCCCCCTCCTGCCCTGCCCACCCCCTTCTAGCGTTCCCCAGCGGCCCAATGCAACTTCCGCCCAGTGCCCCTTCCGCCCCGACCATTTCATTCCGCGTCGCATCGCCCCCAGTGGAACCTCCGCCCAGTGCCCCCTCCGCCCCGACCATTTTATTCTGCGTCGCACCCCCCCCCGCCCCCTCCCCGCCCCCCCCTCGCTTTCCCGCGCTATCCCGCCCCGGCGTTCCCCAACGGCTGGAACCTCTGCCCGCCCAGTGCCCCCTCCGCCCCAACAAGTTGATTCCGCGTCGCACAGCGCCCCCCTCCCCGCCCCCTTCCCCCATTCCCAGCGTTCCCTGGCGGCAAAGTGGAGCTTCCGCAGGAGCCCCCGGCGCCCCGACTTTTGTTTTCGGCGTCGCACCGCGCGCCCCCTTCCCCGCCCCCCTCGCTCTTTGTTTCCCCGGCCTTCCCCCATCGGGCCCAGGGCACCTCCGTCCAGTGCCCCCTCCGCCCCCGACCATTTTACTCCGCGTCGCACGGCGCCCCACCCCCCTCCCCGCACCCCCCCTCTCCCGCCCCTTCCCAGCGTTGCACCGCACCTTTCCCCCCATTCCCCGCCCCTCCCCCCCGCGTCCCCCGCCCCAACGTTCCCCAACGGCCCAATGAAACCTCCGCCCAATGCCCCAACCCCTCCACCCCGACCATGTTATTCCGCGTCGCATCGCGCCCCGCCCCGCCGCACCCCTCCCCCTCTCCCCGCTCCCCCCCTCCGCCCCAGCGTTCCCCAGCGGCCCAATGGAACCGCCGCCCACTGCCTCCGCACCGACCATTTCACTCCGCGTCGCACCGCGCCCCTCCTCCCCGCCCCCCATCCCCCTCTCCCCAGCGGCTCAATGGAACCTCCGCCCAATGCCTCCCTCCGCCCCGACCATTTTATTCCGCGTCGCCGGCGCGCCCTGCCCCCGCCTCCCATCCCCCTTGTTCCCCAACGGCCCAGTGGAACCCCCGCCCGCTCCGTGCCCCCTCCGCCTCCGTTACGGGCTCCCGGGAAAATCTTCGGATCCTCTGTGGACTTTTTGGGTGTTTGTTCGAGGCCTTCTGGGAGCATGCTGGAAGTTTTGGAGGTTATCACGCGGGGGAGGGCCCTTGGAACCTCTTCGAGCCCGCCCTGTCGAGCCCATTTTGCGGCCCTCGTTGGCCCCTCCTTCTCCGATTTCTCGCATCTTATATCCCTTCCCCGTCCTCCTCCTCCTTCACCTCCTCCTCCTCCTCCTCCTTCCCCCTCCCTTCTGTGCAAGATCCATGGCACGCGTGCCACTTTCTTGTCCCCATTACGTGGTGCAGCTAGGCCACGAATGCCTTGGGGCCAGTCCCCGAAACGAGATCGACCAGGAGGAGGAGGAGGAGGAGGAGGAGGAGGAGGAGGAGGAGGAGGAGGACGAGGACTAGAGCTAGCACAAGGAATGCGCAGAGGAGGCTCGGGACGGCGGGGAGTGAGAGGCGGAGGGAGCGGAAGATGAGGAGGGTGGGGATGGGGGCAGGGAGCTGGCGATGGAGGGTAGAGAACACATGGGGAGGGGAGAAAAAGAGAGAGGGAGAGAGAGAAAGAGGAAGGGGGCTGGGAGGGGGGAGAAGGAGAAACCCCATGGAGGGAGGAAAGGGGAGGAGGGATGACGAGGAAGGAAGAGGACGAAGATGAAAACGACGTCGCCGAAGCAGCCTTGACCACCTCCCGCTCCGTGACGCGGTAGCAGGCCGGGTCCAGCGGCGCCGGTGCCCTGCGGCGGGAGCGCGCCCAGGCACTCCGCCTCTCTTGCTGCCTCCTCCCCGCTGCCCCCTGTCGTTCTGCTCCTGCCCCCTCCTCCTCCCCCCTCCTCGCTCCCTCCCTCCCTCCCTCCTCCTCGCTCCTCGCAGTCATCCCTCCTCCTCTCTCCTCCTC